GCGGGGCCGAGGGAGGTCCCCAAAGGGGCGGCGGCGCCTTGGGCCACGTACCAGGCGGTAGATGCCGAAGATCGAGCCGATGGACACACCGCAGTCGATGTTGGACGAGCCGTCCAGCGGGTCGAAGCAGACCACATAGCGCCCGGGCCGCGAGTCGGCATCAGGGCTGCCCTCGGGAGCGGCGGTCACAAAAAAGGCGTTCTCATCCTCCTCGCTGACCAGGACCGCCGCCCGGCCGGACGTGCGCAGGGAGTTCATGAACACCTCGTTGGCCAAGACATCCAGGCGCTGGACCTTCTCGCCCTGGATGTTGGGGCCGCCGCCGGCGAGGCCGGTGCTGTGGGTGGCGAGAGGGCCGGGGAGGGGAGGGGTCACGGTGTCAGGCAGCTGGGACATGGCTGACAGAGGCAAGCCAAGGGGATGGCGAGTGGTCGGGAGACACATACACGTTGGCGAGGCCGGCACGGCGCACGAGGGAAGACACATACTTGCAGCTCAGCTGCGGGATGGCGACCGTCATTCGAGAAGGAGGGCAAGTTGGCGCGGCGCCACACAAGAAAGGCAGGGTGTAAGTGGGTGGCAATGTGCAGGGAAAGGGGCCCGGCACAAGTGCGCGTGCGTGCGTGCGTGCGTGCATGCGTGCGTGCGTGCGTGCGTGCGTGTGGGTGGGTAGGTGCGTCTGTGCCGATGCCGGCCGGCACATGTGCCAGGTACACGCACCTGCAGAGAGACCAGCAGCAGGGTCAGATCGCCGGAAGCCGAGGCATGGCGGCGCTGCTCGCTCAGGGTGTGCCGGGTGAGGGTGATCAGATCGGTGACCGGGGCGTCCGGGCCCAGGGAGCTGGGCTTCGGCCGCGGGGTGCCGGCCGGCACAAAGGCCGCCGTCGAGCCGTGCCCCTGCGTCTCGGTCGACAGGGACAGGAGGACGCGGTTGGCCGAGTAGGCGCACGGAGGCTCGGGGTGCGTGGAGGTCATGGTCGGTGGAGCTGGAGAGGGGGGATGCTGGGAATGCTGGGAGTGCTGAGGGGGGGTGGGGGGGGGTAGATACAAAGACGAAGAGGGTGAGGCAAGGAAGGGAAGGGGAGTGCGGTCCTACCCCGAGGGCCGAGGCCACCGGGGCCCGGGAGCATCCCTCAAATAGGCGCCCTCACCGAGGGAGGATGCCCCGATGCAAGCCACCTGGCAGGGGGGGGGGGGGGGGGGCCCCCCCCGCGGGGGGGGCGGGCGGGGCGGGGGAGACCCAACAGAACCGAAAACCGGCACAAAACGCCAGCCTGGCGAAGAGGAGGCCAGCTTCCGCTGGCATATTCCCTCTCCCCCCCCCCCTCCAGCCCTGTGCGCCTCGGCGTGGTTCCGACCTGAGTGCCATCAGTAGGAGTCGGCAGATCTGAGGTGAGCCACCGCACTTGCCGCAGCCTCGGCTCCCGCCACCCCCCGCGCGCGGCAGGCATGGACCGCCCGCTCAAGGCTGAACTGGGGGGGGGGGGGGGGGGGTTGCCACCAGTGATACTACTGGTGTTGCCCAGTGCCGATGGGGGTCGCCAGGTACCGCTGGCTCCGGCGGGGCCGGCGAGGTCCACGTTCACCCGAGTCTCGCGAAGTGGATATTAATTCCCCCAACACGGACTCGCCACGCCGCAAGGGGTGGGGACGTCTACCATCATCAGGGACGAGAAAATGAACAGCCACATAGGGTGGCCGCGAACGCGCGCAGGCGCGGGGGACGAAGATCTTGGACAGTGCCGGAATGCTCGGGCCGGCACAGAGTGACTCGTCACCAGGCGGCCACGACCAGGTCCCGCTCCCATGCCGCTCCCTGCCCACCCGCTCCCTCCCGGGGGCGCGGGGGGCAGGGCGAGCGAGCGCTCGCTCGTAGTTTGACATGTCTCATCCGGCCCTGCTGATGTGGGCGCACACGCGATGTACGCCAACAGACGGACGCAGGGCCGATCACTAGCTGGCCACCCCACACCCGGCTCTGGGAAGTCGGACAGAGAGACAAGTGGTGGAAAAGGGGGCGAGCGAGCGGGAGAGAGAGAGAGAGAGAGAGGAGGGGCGGGGGCGAGATGGAGATCGATCGACACCTAGCTCCTCCCGTGGCCTGGACACGTCCTCCCCCATTGGAGGTGTCTTGTCCGGCCCGCCCTGTGTCCCTCCCCTCCCCGTCGTCCGTCTCCCCCCCCCCCCCCCCCGGGCCCGGCCCCCTCTCCGGTCAGTGGCCCGCTTGTCCATGCAGAAGTAGTCCAAACGATGATGCCCCGACCGCCGTTTCCCGCCCCCGGGGCCCGACCCGCCCCCGCGTTCCTGGCGGCCTGGCCGAGAAGCATGGGCCTGGGGGGGGGAGTGGGAAGTGCGGCCCGGGGCACCCCCACCCCGGCCCCAGGCCCTGCGCGTCCCCCCCCCCCCGGCCGACAGCAACCGTCCGCCAGCTGGCCAGTCCGCCGTCCGCGGGGGAAAAAAGCACGCACGCACATCTCAACGCGTCGTCCACATCCACCCGCGATGGAGCTAACGTCCCGGCGGCCTCCGGCTAACGCCCGCCCGGCCACGGGCACCCGATCGCCTCCGCGGTTGGCACTTGCCTGTAGCAGGGGTGGGGGCGGGGGCAGTCAGGCAGGGGGGGGGGGGGGGGCGCACACGCAGACGAAGGGCCCCGACACAAGCAACCCAAACAATGCCCCCTTCAGGCCCTGTACCCGGAGCACTGCGAGACGCACTGCGCATGTACGCGCGCGCGCACGCACAAACATCCCACGCCCGAAGTAGGCCCATCAATGTGTGAGACCCCCCTCCCCCCCATGGGCGATGGACCCGACACAGCAGCGAGACAGAGGACGATCACCCGCGCTCCCCCTCCCCCGCCGCGGGAGGACGCATGCACACACGCTCCCCGCCCTCACATTGGGGCATGTTCGCGCGGGGGCATCCACATCCCGCCCCGCCCCGCCCCGCCCCGCGTCCCCCCCCCCCCCCCGCTCCATCAACATACGTGCGGGGCGGAAAAAAACACCAAAAAGGAGCCCAGGGCGCCTGTGTTGACATGTGATCTCGCCGTCACCTGATGACAAATGTGCACAGGTCATGCGCCGCCGACACCTGGCCGCCGGGGTGCTGGTCGGCGGCCAGCTTGACGATCCTGCACCACGGAGGGCGGGGGAGAGAACCCCGCAAAAACCCAGAGCCAGAGGAGGGTGGCAGAGAGGTGGTGGGAGGGGGGACCACAGGACGAAGCGGGCGTTTGCGTTGGAGCCGGCAAAAGCGCATGGCAGGGGGACGTGACGTGTCAGAGGGAGAGAGAGAGAGAGAGAGGAAGAAAGAAAGAAAGAGGGAGAGAGAGAAAGAAAGAAAGAGGGAGAGAGGAGGAGGAGGAGGAGGGATGGGTACTGCAGGGGGGTTTGCAGGGAGGAACCCGCCAGGCCCATGGGCACGTACATCTCCATGTGGTTCTGGGGCGCGGTGAGCGGCGCCTCGGGTGAGGAGGTCGGGGGCTGGGCCACATTCAGCGCGGGATACCGCGCGCTGAAGTGGGACAGAATCAGGTGCGACTTGTGGCTGGCTAGACGCGCAAACTTCCCGGCCATTTGGGGAGTGCTGTGGCCGCGCGACCGGGCCAGGCCCTCGGCAGCCCGGTGGGACTCCTCGGTGCCCGGGTCCAGAGACCCATCCCGCAGGATCTGGAACCCGGCCAGAGTGGCCTCGTGAACGATGGCATCGGCACCGTGGCAGATGGCCAGCGCGGCACGCGAGTCGCTGGTGTCCCCCATGAAGGCCACCCGCCGACCGGGCACCGGGGGGACGATGAATTCCGCCGCGCAGAAGGACGCCCCCGGGTGCGGCGAGCTATCGTCGGCCACAAAGTGCCCGCCGTTGCAGATGACCGACGAGATCTTCCGGCTGATGTCGCGCGCGGGGATGTCAGGCCTGTCGTGACGGGCAGAGAGGGGACCGGGCGGCGGCGAGAAAAGGCAGATGCACGCGGGCAGCAACCATGGAAGTATGGGTCAGGGAGCGGGGAGTGGGGAGCAGGGGAACGGGGGAACGGGGGAACGGGGGAACGGGGGAACCAAGAAGACGCGCGGCCGGGCCACGTACATGCGCTTGCCGATGGCCTCCAGCAGGGCGGCGCTGTCGAAGCGCGGGCGCTTCGGGAACTCGGTCACCGCAAAGCCGAAAGAGAAGGTATCGTGTGCCAGCGGGGCCGCCGTCACCCGGAAGGGCAGCTGACAGGCCGGCAGCCCGGGGACCCGGTAAGCCACCCGGTCTGTGAGGGAGGCCCGCACCGGGCCCTGGCCGCCCGTGGCGTCGGCCGGCAGCGCCAACAGGGTCGGGGCCTTGGACGGGCTCTTTGGCACCGGGGCCGGGGCCGGGGCCGATTCCACGACCGGGTAGGTGGCCGGATCAAACATCCAAGACACCGCATCTGCGTCCGAGAGATCGGGGCGCCCGTCGGCGCGCAGGCGCGCCCGCAACCCCTCGTCATCCATCCCAGAGGGGCAGTTCGGCCCGAAGGAGAAGTGCCCCGAGCACAGCAGCCGGGCATCCGGCCCGGCGCCAGGGGTCTCCGGCCAGTCGGCCGCCAGCGGGACGTCATATGTACCGGCCGGCGCCGGGCGAATGCACTCCCGGTGAATCGACGAGGCCCCGCCATCGCCCGGGGGAAGCGCATCGCAGGGTGGCGATGCGCCACACGTGCAGTAGCTGATCGGGCTGCCTGCTGCGCTGGCAGACGCTCCATCGATGGAGGCCCCGGCCGTGGCCGGGTTCGGCCGCACATTCCGGCCCTGCAGTTCGTTGAAGAGGAAGTCCCCGGCCGGCGAGTCATCCAGCGCCGGGGCCTCGCCAAGGGCCGGGTGCAGCTCGTGCACCACAAACCGGAAGGCCATGTTGGTGCCGGAAAACCGCAGCGACTGGCGGAGATATGCCCGCAAGCCGGGCGGTCCGACGATCACCAGGTGCCCATCGCCCGGCACGAAGCCCGTGGACCCGGCGCTGGAGGACAGGGTCATCAGCAGGCCCACCAGCCCATTGACGTGGTCACCATGCGCATGGGTGATGAAGATGTGCGACATCTTTCGGAAGCCGAGCTTGGATTGTTGGAGTTTCACCTACCAGGTGGCGAGGCGGCGGCCCGGGGGGGGGGGGGCGAATGGAACCCGGCGCGGGGGGGGGGGATGGCGTGAGTGATTGGCCTCCCGGCGGGGCAGACACGGGCAGGACAGCCGCGCACCTGTGTATTCTCGCCGCAATCGAAGAGCAGCATATGGGTCCCGTCGACGACCATGGCCATGGCGGAGGTTCCGCGCGAGGCCGAGGGGATGGCACTGCCGGTGCCGAGGAAGCACAATTGCATTGGGTAACTCCGGAGCGGTGGGACGGCCGAAGATCTGGCAGCCGCGGAAGACAGGCGCCGGGGGGTGATGCTCGGAAGTGGAAGGAACAAGGGGAGGGGCGGGGCGGGAGGCTGGCCGGCGGCGATGGCCAGCCGTGCGGCGTGAGTCCCGCAAAAGTGCCTGACCGCACGCACCAACATCGGCCTCTGCTGGGTGGTGATCCGGGCTCTGTCTCGGGCCCTCGTGGATGTGGAAAGCAGGAGCCAGTCGGGGGATGGGAGGGAGACAGGGTGAAGGGGGGGGGGGGGGGGCCAACACCCCCACCTCGGGCCAGCCGGGCGCGCGGAAAAAGCCCCCACAAAGGAACCGCGGTTGCATCATGGCCCGGGCTGGCTGATCGGCCGCACCTCCCGGGGATGCCAACGATCGGCCGCACTTCCCGACCTGTGACAAGGGGGGGGCGGGGGGCGATTGAAAATCCGGGACCGCGGGAGGATCGCCGGCCCCGGCGACCGGGGCATCCAGCCTCCCTCCCCTCCATACATGCATACACGCACACACATACACGCACGCATACACGCGCACGCATACACGCACACGCATACACGCACACGCATACACACACATATACGCCGCGCCTCGCCTCCCGCATATGGACGCACACGCGCCCTGTCCCGAGTCCAGCATGGGGAATGACAGCGCCAGCGACGGCCCCGACAACACCAGTGACTTCGCAGCCCCCCGGGCAGATCTCGTCCCCATGAGCGAGTTCACCGAGGACGATAGCGATGGGTATGACGAGGAGGATGAGGACCGCGGCGCCCCGCCGGGGGACTACTATCAGCCCCTGGGGGATGGCCCGGCGTCGGACGATGAGCTGGCCCTGGCCATGGCATACGGCCTGACCACCATGGATCTGGATGGCGAGGGCTTCGACTCGGACGGCACGATGTCCGACGAGCCGGATGCGGCCGGCCCCGCCACGGCTCCCCTGGCCGACCTGGATGACGAGCAGGTGGACTCGCTGGTGAAGGCCCTCCTGGCGGAGGATGACCGCCAGGCGTCGCTCTTTGTCAGCCCGGGTGCCCTGCCTGCCCGGAAGGCTGGCCGCCCAGCCTCGGCCCCGGCTGTGGAGGGGAGCGGTGTTGGCCGGCATGGCCGTGACTCCTCGGCTCGCGGCCTGGATGCCGAGCTGGACCCGCTGCCCACCCTCGGGGGCGACGTCGACGAGTTCCTCCGCGGCGATGTACGTGCCGTGAGCCTTTCGCTCTTGAGCCCCGACTCTCCGGCCATTCCTCCGATGTCGGTATCCCTCTGCTGACCCGCCCCACCCGCCCTCCTCCCATCACACGCACACACATGCACACACGCACACACAAATGCCTGCGGGCGCATATGCATCGGCGTCAGTATGTCCAACTTAGTTCCGGCCCAAGGCCAACCTTCCTCCTGACATCCCGGCCCACAGAGGCCGAGGACCAATCGCGTGCGCCTGGTCTCGCCTGCTGCCTACCCACTGCAGTGCCTTCCTCCTCCTCCTCTTCCTCCCCCCACCAGCTAACCCCAGCAGCGTGCGGTGTCCTCCGCCCGTCCTTGGCTCCTCCTCCCCTGGCTCGAGCCAGTCGACACCGAAACCATCCGGTCGATCATGCAAGGGATCTCCTTCCCCGCGAGCGCCGTCCCGGAGTGGGCCGGTCACGTGGACGAAGCAGACTGGCTGCCGGTCATCCGTCGGAGGGAGTGAACATGGCGAAAGTCCAGCACCCCCGGGCTGGCACCTATGCCGGATTGTTCTGCTGCGCCCCACTTACATTCTCCTACTCAAGAAACCAGTTTCACCGTCAGCTCTCCCTCCGTTCCGGCGGCATGGGCATGTGGGGCGAGGGGGGGTTCTGTCTCTCTTGTCTTTCTGTTTCCCGCCTACGGGGAGGGCGAGAGAGAGAAGGCCGTGACGCGGGCCGTCGCGGCCCTTTTGCAGGGCATGCGCATCATCAACCTTCGGTGTGGATGTGACATATTCTTCGTTATTTTAATGGGGGATTATTTTCCGCCACCGCCCGTTCTCCTCTCTCCTTCGCCGGCAGCTTCTCGGGCGGGCGGGGGGGCGGGGGGCGCGGGCGGAGCGTTCACTGTGCATGTGTGAGAAGAAAACCCCCCGCAGGGTCAGGGGCGGCATTCTCAGTTGGGAGCACGGGCGTGGCAAGCCACGACGCTTTCCGGCACCGCGCGTGGCTCCGAGTCTCCCTCGGAGGCGCGCGGTGACTGGAGCGGGGTGCGGGGCGCGACGGGGGATGTTGCGAGGCGGCACGCGCCGTGCACCGGCGCCAGGGGAACGGAGGCCGGCTCGGGCTCTCTCCCGGCTTCTGCAAGGTCCTCGGGCAGGGGGAGATACGCCAAGGGAGAACCGCCCGGTCTCCTCCCCCCCCCCCCCCCGGGTCCCCACGCAGCC